AAAAGCTTGCTGATGGGCGCGGTAAACAGAAAAACCTTTATTCCCCCCCCCATTGCATGCGTGAACACTTCAACCCCATCCATTCCTTCACGTTCCTCTGCGGAAGTCGTGTCTTCTCTTGACTCCTTATATCCCAATGGGTACAGTAATATAAATTGCAGTCTTACCCCGTTAAATGCTCACTTTTGTAGATCTAATTCCCTGATGTAAACTGAAATGGGAGAACGCTGGTGTACGTCGTTTTAGCATGTTTCCATTTGTTTCAGAGCAATGCGGCGGCTGTCCCGGCTCTTCTACGAAGGAATGAATTTGTCATCGCAACTGCTGGATCTTGTCAAGGTGAACTAAGCAATAATCTCTAACCAGAATAGTCTGTCAGGTCGTGCCCCTATTTTCAGAACTGTTTTCATGCTATACAGGGACCCATGCATGAAACATAATCCATGCTTAATTGTTTCTGAGCGGCCGTCTGAACGCTTAAAAGGAATGCCAAATTCTTTTCGAATTTCGGTTCGAATCTCCGCGGTGACAAAAATCTGCATTTTTGCTTGACGTTGGCACGATGCCATTTGATGGTACCTGTCATATTACCCCCAGGACCAGAAATAACCCGTATGAGTGGGCTCTTGCCAAAAATCGGTGTCAAAAAGGTGCACTTGCTTCTCGTTACACACCTTTTGGTATTCAGAAGCCGCGCAGTAGAAATGAACCAAAGCTCACACGTATGCACCCTCGCCCACTCCACGGAGAGAACCGTATTCAAAAAGCGGGGCACACCTGAAAGACCTTTCTGGTAGGTTATAGCAAATAGCCTCCCATTTCAGAACAAATATTACTTCTTCAAATCAAGTATCGACAGACTGCAGTTGGGCATTGAAAATCTACGGAACGCCCCAATTAACGAGGCCGACATCGCATCGCTTGGTTAGGCTTCATTTCTATTATTCACATGCGTTCACTTACAGTATTCCCTTGCAGAGCCACAAATCCTCCAACTAAGCGATAGAGTACGGTATGTGTTGGCGAGACCACAACTACTGGATGCAATCAGTTTCAGCAGTGGACTCACTTTCGTTCAAGGGTTATCAAATCTTAGGTATCATTCTGGTTCTCTTGACAGCAAACAAGCAAGATGGATAGTCTATGGTTTCAGGAACACTTTGGTTATTTTTTGTGCTTAATTATGCTCCCTTCTTCCTTGACTTGTTTATTCTTCACAATCACCCCATCATTTACAAGGTGTGGTCTACGCATTGGGATGGGCGGGGGGGGGGGGGGTGGGAGAGCTGGATATCTTCTGTCTTGTAGGATTCTCATAAGTTTTCGCTGCAATTTTGGGGTCGAGGGTTGAAAAAAATTGAGCCCTCTTCTCGTTTCTGAACTTCGACGGAGAAGAACCTCTGTTTTGAGGTTCGCCTTCAGCAGTTCAAACTTCTGGCCCTTGAGACTACCAGTGGCGCTTGTGAGACCGCCTAAAAGGAATCACTCGATTCTCCCTCCAGTGAGTACTGGGTAGATAGCCAAAAAACGACAAGGAATCAAAATGAACATGGTGGTGATGGGTCGTACTGGCTCAGAGCATGTAGCATCCAAATTCCATATTCGAATCTACGCGGGATGCGTAGATGCCCTGACAGTGCCATCTTACCGTACCAGAAACCTTCCTCAAACATTGGTTGATTTCCCTTGAGCAATCTTCAATAATGCTGTGTAGAATACCGTAATCCATTAGGTTGCTCGGGAATTGGTGTCGGTTTTTGACCCATACTTTCAGAACGGAATATCTCAGCTTAACGCAAACATTATTGACCGAAATTGAGAACCACTGAAGCACGATAAGATAAGAAAAAATCTGAGGTAACCTTGCCCCCTTCTGTAAAACAAAGCTTTCTCAAAGCTTCATGGAAATTTCTCATGTTGCTTCTTTATAAACTGCCAAATATCCGATCTGTATTGGGACGTGAGTGATACAAATTCAGGCTACACACTGTTTTTTCTTCGTTTCGAGTTGATCACAACCAATGTTGTGATCAACTTTTGGGTGTTTTTTATAATCGAATGATATTACAGAGAAATTCTTCCATCGAGCAGGAGCGCGTTTGATGCGAAATTTCGCAGTATTGGCGCCTACGGAATGATCACTCAAGTGATAAGTGAGATCAACAAGCTTCTGGCCAAGATCGGAGCACGACTGTGAACGGATATAACTTCTTCGTGAATGTTGGGGAAATAAAGATTGGAATGTGTTGTTTCTTCCCACATCACGGAACTTGATGTTAGAGAGTCTTCGAAGAAAGGATCGCCTTTATCACAAAGGAGCTGGGTCATGTACAAATCACTTAGTCTCTGGCGGTGAAATCTGCACCTCTGTCCTGAAAGCGAAAGATGTAGACTCGATTCCCGTCTAAGCCGCAGCATTTTGCCCATAACTCACATCGCTTGTGACTTTCGCTTGGCGAGCCGCAGTCAAAAAAGCGCTCAACTTCTCAATAACTCAAAAGCAAGTAAAATTAATAGCAGCATTATTTGTTTCCCCTTTCATTTGATTTTTGAATCATGTCAATCGTACTTAGAAAAACTGACCGGACAATCCTATAAGTGGTGATTGCTTTGGAAAACTATTGACATAATGGACAGCGGCGAAACATAGCCCTCGGGGGAAGGACGTAACACTGATTCAGATTCACGGAGATGATCAGTTCTAGGAATAATCCTTATTGGAGAAGATCCTAGGGGCGTAAACAGTTCTCATTCTTTCTGGTTGTCCCTATCTGTTAGGCTCAGTTCTAGTGGCCTTCCAGAATGGGCCCTAGAGGCACATTACGCCTAGATAGCTTATCACAGAAGTGCAAACAATTCTTAGGTTCTTTTTTAGGCGAGAATCGGAAGACGTGAGAGCTGCGTCGCGATGCTGCAGCTCATGGTTGTGGCTCAATAAGGCCTCCTGGCCTTTATCAGCGTAGTTTGCCAGGTAGAAAGGAGACGCTGCCATACATCGCCTAACCGGAAGCTAAGTACCATTACCTGGACCTAATCACATAACCGCGTATTTTTTGTAGAGTATCTCAGAAAAATGATACCAGCTAGGTTCGCTCAAATGGTAAGGGACTCAACAAATGCTCTGGAGAAGGGTGATTCCAATATTGTGTATTCATTGCCGTACAGTTGTATATGATGGGGCTTGTCCAACAGTCAGCGCTCAATCAGTTCCTAGACTTCGGGGCCTGCTTCCTAACCCAACCTACTAGTCAACCCTATCATTTTAGCGAATAACAATGGGATTGAGACGGTTGATACTGCATATTGCTGGCTGATTCTTGACTTTAATAGAATGAATGTTGTAGCATTAGATGAAAGAGAAGCTCTTGTTCTTGATCAGACTTTATTGGCGACGTTTCGGGCATAAGCCCTTCTTCAGGCCGACTGAATCTTAAGCAATCATACAACAGTATACCACATACTTCAATAAGTCACAGCACTTATAATAAGTACAACAGTAACCTACAGGATACTTGGGTGGTCGGAAGGAAGAGGGAAATTGGTAGGCATGACTTTTATGGGTATATATATACACGCCATATGGGAACCGACTCGACTTCATCACGTTTCCTTTCCCAGTGCACGTATTATATTGATACCAGACTCATTGCCACTTTCATCTCCTCCTTGTTGTTTATCGGTGGCTTCTGTTGCCTTATTTCTAGCGCTTCCCTTATTTTCCTTTCGACTGGATCCACCACATTTCTGTGAATAATGGAGACGAGAAGCTCGGGCGGTGTTTCCTGCGAATGCCGGAGTGTACGATGTCTGGAGAATGGATTTTCCGGGTAGTTCTGTGGACTACGCAAAGCTCTTCGGTGTTCATCCATTCTCCTATGTAGTGGCCTTGATGTTTCTCCGATGTAAAACTCGTTACACGTGAGGCACACCACTTTGTACACCACGCATTTCTCCTGACACACCTTATGTTCTCCACATATTGTGCAGTTTACTCTTTCACACCGACTTTCGTACGAACGCGAAGATGTTAGAAGGCGTCGTAAAGTAGGAGGAGGACGAAAGATCAGACTTATTGGAAGTCGTGATCGCTTTACGACGCGGTTAACATCCATCGCGAAGGAGTCGGTAATGAAAGGTAACACCAGTGGAGTGCCACAAGGTGATCGGCATGGTTTCCAGCTTCGAAGGTGCTGTCGTTTATATCCGTTTTGCCGCAGAACTTCATCAACTTCCGTCTCTATGTCTTCGGGATTCGCGGAGGTCAGTTTATATGATGTGGAGATCATGTGGCGAACCACATTCAGCTTCATGTAGACAGGATGGCAACTTCTCGCATGGATTAGTATGTTCTTGGATGCCGGCTTCTTGTACCACATGGTGCTAATCTGACCATCCGTGATCTTGATCTTAGTGTTCAGAAATGGGAGGAAGCCATCTGGGGAAGGGCGCTCAGCTGTTAACTTTATCGACTGGCACTTTCTGTTCAATCTTCCAAATGTTTGTCGCAATGTTCTTCGAGATTTCCCAACGATGAAAATGTCGTCGATATATCGTCCAAAGTATAGTACTCTTGACGATAATGTTGACCTCTCAAGGCTATCCATGAAAACGATTGCGAGCAGTGGAGCCAGTCTGCTACCCATGGCAAGTCCACGTGTCTGCTTGTAGTAGCACTTGATTTAATCGACATTGCGGTGTGAAAGAGTAAACTGCACAATATGTGGAGAACATAAGGTGTGTCAGGAGAAATGCGTGGTGTACAAAGTGGTGTGCCTCACGTGTAACGAGTTTTACATCGGAGAAACATCAAGGCCACTACATAGGAGAATGGATGAACACCGAAGAGCTTTGCGTAGTCCACAGAACTACCCGGAAAATCCATTCTCCAGACATCGTACACTCCGGCATTCGCAGGAAACACCGCCCGAGCTTCTCGTCTCCATTATTCACAGAAATGTGGTGGATCCAGTCGAAAGGAAAATAAGGGAAGCGCTAGAAATAAGGCAACAGAAGCCACCGATAAACAACAAGGAGGAGATGAAAGTGGCAATGAGTCTGGTATCAATATAATACGTGCACTGGGAAAGGAAACGTGATGAAGTCGAGTCGGTTCCCATATGACGTGGATATATATATATATACCTATAAAAGTCATTGCCATACCATATTTCCGCTCTTCCTTCCGACGCGCACCCAGTATATCCTGGTAGGTTACTGTTGTACTTATTATAAGTGCTGTGACTTATTGAAGTATGTGGTATACTGTTGTATGATTGCTTAAGATTCAGTCGGCCTGAAGAAGGGCTTATGCCCGAAACGTCGCCAATAAAGTCTGATCAAGAACAAGAGCTTCTCTTTCATCTAATGCTACAACATTCGAATCAATGAAGCTCAGGGAACCATCTATTTTATTCTATACTTTGGACCTATACGAACATTTCCGTTTATAACGTGCGCGTCAATTTTATATGCCACCCCTAATTTTTTCAGTTTTCCGACTTATTTGGAAATTTCGTAAATCGGCATGCAACCATCGGTTTCGGCGTGCCGGAAAACTAGGAACGGTGTTGTTTGATTTTGGTTAACTGGCTTGTGTAATAAAATTTTTTGATTTGCTCTGTTCTTTTGAAGAAAATGGGCCGCGTCAAATTCTTATGCCATCCTAAATTTTCTTCAGAATTTCTCATGTCTCTAACGCTATTCAGCTATGGTGTGCATGTAATACAAATGAGGAAATCCTCGACTCATGCAATGCACACAAATGGTGAAGCATTTATAACTGATTAGTTCGGAATATTAGCCTTTATACTGGACGGTAGCGGCATGAAAACGCTTTATCAGAGAAACAGCTGTGTGCTCACTTAGTACGATCGCTCTGCTGCTTTGTTGTGGATTACTCCCCGAGATGTTAGCCGATGCGCAAACTTGGGGCTAATTGAAGTTGCTCTAAGGAACGCCTTAAATCTCGATTTCCCCGCTCCGTGGTCAACTTTTTTTGTGGTCTTGGCTCCTTGCGAAGCTCGAAACGTTCACGCTCACAAAGTCCCTTTTTAGAGAGAACACGACTCGTACCTACTACCTGTCTGGTACCCATCACTGAACTCGATCGAAGTTTTCTTATCAAGGCGATGCAATGATGGCCCATGCAACCACTTCGGTTTCCCGTTCAAGTTACAACTGGCCCATGTCATCATTTTCGCTATCTCGGTATGAAAATTTTTCCAGAGAGAACCCGACAAAGTTCGGCGATGGGTACTACGCGGATTGTGAGTGCAACTCATATTCTCTCTGAACAGAGACTTTGTGAGCGTGAACGCTTCGAGCTTCGCAGGGAGCCGAGACCACAAAAAAAGTTGACCACGGATTCGAAGCGGGAAAATGAGAATTTAAGAGTTCCTTGAGCACTTCAATTTCCCCAGTTTTGCCTGGATACACTCCTCGTTGAGTTCTACAACAAGCAGCAGGAGCGATCGTACTAGTGAGCACACAGCTGTTTCTCTGATAAAGCGTTTTCATGCCGCTACCGTCCAGTATAAAGGCTAATATTCCGAACTAATCAGTTATAAATGCTTCACCATTTGTGTGCATTGCATGAGTCGAGGATTTTCCTCATTTGTATTTACATGCACACCATAGTTGAATATTCGTTAGTACGTACATGAGAAATTCTCGATAGAAAAATTCAGAGATATTAACATTTGACGACCGGTCCCTCATTTTCTCAAAAGATCTAAGCTAACAATTCTAAATCCAACTCGTTTACACCAAAAATCAAACAACACCCGTTTCCTCCTCGTTCCTGACATCGCCTTGGGTATTGCGTCTGTTCTGGTTCCTGAACCTTCGATGGTTGCTTATCCTGATTTACGTAAATTTCCAAATAAGTGGAAAAATCTGAAAAATTAGGGTCGTGTGGCTGGTTAAATTTAAAATGACGCTGCTTAAATGTATTGCAATCCTCCATGGTCTGTTTCAGATGCTGATTTTGATTGGTTATATTTCACTATACACATCCATTTCTTTTAATTATGGAAATTCTATATAACTGCTAAAATTCTACTTCTGACTCGATGTCAATTTTCAAAGTATACTAATGCCACTGGATAATGATATTTCTCCATTCCGCTATTGCTTTATGCGCTGCATTATCGTCTTGCAATCTTTCAGTTCAAAAATTTGATCGGCCTTTGTGCATTT